TGAAGGAGGAGAGGAGCACTTAGGGCGGCAGCAGTGAAGCACACAACTGATATGCAGACATACATACACATCTACCTGCACGATATCTCCAATCTACTGCACGTCTACACACACATACATACATACATGCATACATGCACGCGTGTACCTGTAGCTGGCTTGGCCGGGCGTACATGGGGGGGATGATGTCGGTGGCGGCTGTACGGGAGCCCCCCCCTTCGTAATGGACGAGCCGGGACGTGTCCCTGCGGGCGGCGGATTACGGGTTTATGTGCGCGTGTGTGTGCGCGTGTGTATATAGAAGCGTGCGTACATCTCTGGTCTTGGTTGACAATACTGCAATTCGCGGTTTAAGGTCCTGGGTTCGATTCCCGGGGAGACCCCCGAATTAGTCGGGAGCGCGAGATTATGTCTAGCTGCTGAGATGTGGAGTTGAGGTCACAGTTGATGGACCCTCCGTCTCTTCGGGTGTTCGGGTGAATGGATGAGGAGGGGTCCCTGAAGGCTGGATCCGCCGCCTTGGACTTACAGTTCGTATGGCGAAGTACAGTGTGGTAGTGGTGGATGGTGCTATAAGGTGATAAATGATCGTAGAACTGACAATGTGATAAAGCGGCCCAGAAGCCTCCCACTCTGTAACATTACATTACATTGCATTACAGAAGCGTGCGTATATGTGTGTACGTAATTAAGTACGTGTGTGTTTCACACAGGTTGGGGAAAATAGGCACTAAACAGATTTTTATACATTTCTATTACTTCTCTATAAAGTGGTAGTAATAGTAGTAATCTTTATTTATCTTGCCCCAGCAGCTCCCACTCTGCTATATAATAAAAACTGTCTTTTAAAGTGTCTTTTAAGTCTTTTAAACGAATTAGTGTGCAAGTGTGCAAGTGTGCAAGTGTGCAAGCGTAAATTACAGAAGGCTGTGTGTGCTTCTTTCTATTTTTAAGAAGAGACGTTCGAGTCGTCGTCGTCGTCGTCTTGTCTGTCTTAGGGAAGGTGGGAAGCGGAGGATAGATGGGCATATGTTGATTTTAGTCATCCAGATTGCCGTACCGAACCTCCATGTTCGTCGTACCTTGCTCTGAGGTACCCCGCCATCGCCAGGTGTACAGCGCCGTACCCCGCCTCGTTGCCCAACGACCACATAACGATGGCAGGTTGGTTTTTATCTCTTTTTTTGAAGAGGAGCGAAGGAGAAAAGGGCCGGGAGGGGAGGGAAAAAGTGAAACAGCGAAGAATGGAGACCAGACGAAGGGGGAGACGGGGGGGAAGGGAAGGGAGCGGCAAAAGAACGGAAAAGCTGAATGCGAACGAAGGGCACGCCTTAGTATCGCCACGGGAGGGAGGGAGGGAGGGTGTGAAGG